ACAGACAGACTGAGACAGTATGTACATGTCACTCCCTCCTACACAGACAGACTTAGACAGTATGCACATGTCACTCCCTCCTACACCTACACAGACAGACTTAGACAGTATGTACATGTCACTCCCTCCTACACACACAGACTTAGACAGTATGTACATGTCACTCCCTCCTACACACACAGACTTAGACAGTATGTACATGTCACTCCCTCCTACACACACAGACTTAGACAGTATGTACATGTCACTCCCTCCTACACAGACAGACTTAGACAGTATGTACATGTCACTCCCTCCTACACAGACAGACTTAGACAGTATGTACATGTCACTCTCACACACTGTCACACACACAGACTTAGACAGTATGTACATGTCACTCCCACCTACACACACAGACTTAGATAGTATGTACATGTCACTCCCTCCTACACACACAGACTTAGACAGTATGTACATGTCACTCCCTCCTACACAGACAGACTTAGACAGTATGTACATGTCACTCCCTCCTACACCTACACACACAGACTTAGACAGTATGTACATGTCACTCCCACCTACACACACAGACTTAGACAGTATGTACATGTCACTCCCTCCTACACCTACACAGACAGACTTAGACAGTAGGTACATGTCACTCCCACCTACACAGACAGACTGAGACACTATGTACATGTCACTCCCTCCTACACAGACAGCCTGAGACAGTATGTACATGTCACTCCCTCCTACACACACAGACTTAAACAGTATGTACATGTCACTCCCTCCTACACACACAGACTTAGATAGTATGTACATGTCACTCCCTCCTACACACACAGACTTAGACAGTATGTACATGTCACTCCCTCATACACACACAGACTTAGACAGTATGTACATGTCACTCCCTCCTACACACACAGACATGTACATGTCACTCCCTCCTACACAGACAGACAGTATGTACATGTACACACACAGACTTAGACAGTATGTACATGTCACTCCCTCCTACACAGACAGACTTAGACAGTATGTACATGTCACTCCCTCCTACACCTATACACACAGACTTAGACAGTATGTACATGTCACTCCCTCCTACACCTACACACACAGACTTAGATAGTATGTACATGTCACTCCCTCCTACACACACAGACTTAGACAGTATGTACATGTCACTCCCTCCTACACAGACAGACTTAGACAGTATGTACATGTCACTCCCTCCTACACACACAGACTTAGACAGTATGTACATGTCACTCCCTCCTACACAGACAGACTTAGACAGTATGTACATGTCACTCCCTCCCCCACCTACACACACAGACTTAGACAGTATGTACATGTCACTCCCTCCTACACAGACAGACTTAGACAGTATGTACATGTCACTCCCTCCTACACAGACAGACTTAGACAGTATGTACATGTCACTCCCTCCTACACAGACAGACTGAGACAGTATGTACATGTCACTCCCTTCTACACACAGACAGACTTAGACAGTATGTACATGTCACTCCCTCCTACACAGACAGACTTAGACAGTATGTACATGTCACTCCCTCCTACACACACAGACTTAGACAGTATGTACATGTCACTCCCTCCTACACAGACAGACTTAGACAGTATGTACATGTCACTCCCTCCTACACCTATACACACAGACTTAGACAGTATGTACATGTCCCTCCCTTCTACACAGACAGACTTAGACAGTATGTACATGTCACTCCCTCCTACACACACAGACTTAAACAGTATGTACATGTCACTCCCTCCTACAGAGACAGACTTAGACAGTATGTACATGTCACTCCCTCCTACACACACAGACTTAAACAGTATGTACATGTCACTCCCTCCTACACACACACAGACTTAGACAGTATGTACATGTCACTCCCTCCTACACAGACAGACTTAGACAGTATGTACATGTCACTCCCTCCTACACAGACAGACTTAGACAGTATGTACATGTCACTCCCTCTGAGACAGTATGTACATGTCACTCCCTCCTACACACACAGACTTAAACAGTATGTACATGTCACTCCCTCCTACAGAGACAGACTTAGACAGTATGTACATGTCACTCCCTCCTACACAGACAGACTTAGACAGTATGTACATGTCACTCCCTCCTACACACACAGACTTAGACAGTATGTACATGTCACTCCCTCCTACACAGACAGACTTAGACAGTATGTACATGTCACTCCCTCCTACACAGACAGACTTAGACAGTATGTACATGTCACTCCCTCCTACACCTACACACACAGACTTAGACAGTATGTACATGTCACTCCCTCCTACACACACAGACTTAGACAGTATGTACATGTCACTCCCTCCTACACAGACAGACTTAGACAGTATGTACATGTCACTCCCTCCTACACCTACACAGACAGACTTAGACAGTATGTACATGTCACTCCCTCCTACACAGACAGACTTAGACAGTATGTACATGTTACTCCCACCTACACACACAGACTTAGACAGTATGTACATGTCACTCCCTCCTACACAGACAGACTGAGACAGTATGTACATGTCACTCCCTCCTACACAGACAGATTTAGACAGTATGTACATGTCACTCCCACCTACACACACAGATTTAGACAGTATGTACATGTCACTCCCTCCTACACAGACAGACTTAGACAGTATGTACATGTCACTCCCTCCTACACCTACACAGACAGACTTAGACAGTATGTACATGTCACTCCCTCCTACACACACAGATTTAGACAGTATGTACATGTCACTCCCTCATACACACACAGACTTAGACAGTATATACATGTCACTCCCTCCTACACACACAGACTTAGACAGTATGTACATGTCACTCCCTCCTACACAGACAGACTTAGACAGTATGTACATGTCACTCCCTTCTACACACACAGACTTAGACAGTATGTACATGTCACTCCCTCCTACACAGACAGACTTAGACAGTATGTACATGTCACTCCCTCCTACACACAGAGTATTATGTCACTCCCTCCTACACACACACATGTCACTCCCTCCTACACCTACACACACAGACTTAGACAGTATGTACATGTCACTCCCTCCTACACACACAGACTTAGACAGTATGTACATGTCACTCCCTCCTACACACACAGACTTAGACAGTATGTACATGTCACTCCCTCCTACACACACAGACACAGTATGTACATGTCACTCCCTCCTACACACACAGACTTAGACAGTATGTACATGTCACTCCCTCCTACACAGACAGACTTAGACAGTATGTACATGTCACTCCCTCCTACACACACAGACTTAGACAGTATGTACATGTCACTCCCTCCTACACAGACAGACTTAGACAGTATGTACATGTCACTCCCTCCTACACAGACAGACTTAGACAGTATGTACATGTTACTCCCACCCACACACAGACTTAGACAGTATGTACATGTCACTCCCTCCTACACAGACAGACTTAGACAGTATGTACATGTCACTCCCTACTACACACACAGACTTAGACAGTATGTACATGTCCTACACACTACACACACAGTACAGTATGTCATGTCTCCCTCCTACATACACAGACAGACTTAGACAGTATGTACATGTCACTCCCTCCTACACCTACACAGACAGACTTAGACAGTATGTACATGTCACTCCCTCCTACACAGACAGACTTAGACAGTATGTACATGTCACTCCTAACTACACCTACACAGACAGACTTAGACAGTATGTACATGTCACTCCCAACTACACAGACAGACTGAGACAGTATGTACATGTCACTCCCACCTACACACACAGACTTATATAGTATGTACATGTCACTCTCTCCTACACAGACAGATTGAGACAGTATGTACATGTCACTCCCTCCTACACACACAGACTTAGACAGTATGCACATGTCACTCCCTCCTACACCTACACAGACAGATTTAGACAGTATGTACATGTCATTCCCTCATACACACACAGACTTAGACAGTATATACATGTCACTCCCTCCTACACACACAGACTTAGACAGTATGTACATGTCACTCCCTCCTACACAGACAGACTTAGACAGTATGTACATGTCACTCCCTTCTACACACACAGACTTAGACAGTATGTACATGTCAGTCCCTCCTACACCTACACACACAGACTTAGATATTATGTACATGTCTCTCCCTCCTACACAGACAGACTTAGACAGTATGTACATGTCACTCCCTCCTACACACACAGACTTAGACAGTATGTACATGTCACTCACTCCTACACACAGACTTAGACAGTATGTAGATGTCACTCACTCCTACACAGACAGACTTAGACAGTATGTACATGTCACTCCCTCCTACACACACAGACTTAGACAGTATATACATGTCACTCCCTCCTACACAGACAGACTTAGTCAGTATATACATGTCACTCCCTCCTACACAGAGAGATAGATTGATCAGTCTTTCCAAACTATGTAATGATAATTAATTTCATTTGTTATGATCAATGTGGATGATATTTAATGGCCGACCAGTTTTGCCTTTGATGCGAGGCTTCATCGGGGGACTAACATAATGGATTCCAGCCATAAAGTACAGAAATTGGGATTAATTTTATGTTATGACCTTGTAAGAAGTAAATGTAAACAACTGACAAAGGGAGATAATCCACTGTCTACAGACATTTCATTACAAGGCTGCTATATCATGCCCAGCAAATGTTCATTATTTGTTAGATAAAAATTCTACATATTGTTTAGTTAACAAGACGCTCGATGGCCTCAACTGTCCCCTGGGTCCCAATGCTTCTTGTAACTCGCATAGAAATGATTTTGTTGAAAATAGTAATATCATTTTAACTATACAGTAGACATAATGCAAATGTAAATTGTGTATACATTAACTGCTGTCCCATGCTAAGGCTTCTAACAAAGTTTGAATTAAAAGAAATATCACTCAAGATTTTAATTTTCCTACATTAAATCTTCCATCCAGAACAGTAGAACATCTTTGAAATTTCAGTCAGTTTGACCCACTTTTGGCCCCACCCATTAGCCCATGGGGGTCCATCAAGGTCAATATGTGCATCTCATCAAACTGTCAGCTTATACTAATAACAAATAAATTCTAACCAAGTTTGAACTGTATCTGAAAGAAAATAAACAAATTATGTTCAAAAATGTGATTTCCCTATATATAAAAAAAACAAAGTAAATTTTACCCCCTCCCTGGGGAAATATGAAACCCTGGGATCAGGAAATTTACAATTTTGGTAAAGCATCTGAAGAGTACTAGACTCTACCAGCCCTGAGATCTGAGAAGTAGATTTTTGAACTTTCAATTAATCTGACCCCTTTTGGCCCTGCCCCTTAGGCCCTTGGGATTGGGGACCATATCATTTACAATTTTGGTGCACCTAAAGCCATGGAAAGTTTTCGCAAAATTCAATTGAAATTGGTTCAGGAGTTTTCAAGGAGAAGTCCAAAATGTGAAAAGTTCACATTGCATGTCGCAAGATGCTGGACAGACTGAGACTTTGTCTATTGGCAGATGATACACTCCCCTAACATTTTTTTCTCCTCAAGGGGTATTATTTCTGTGCTTGCTTTGTTCCTTTTTTTATCAAGTTAGCAATCAGGGAAAATTAAAAAGTTCATACATAAGGAATTTCAGGATTTAACAAGAGGCCCATGGGCCTTAACGGTCATCTGACAAAAAGCAAGCCAAACCTAGAAAGTGGGTTGAGGTCATTCATTTGAACAAACTTGGTAGCCTCTCCTCCAAGCATCTTACAGGCCCAATATCAGCACTCATGGACTTTTGCTTGTTGAGAAGAAGTCGTTTGTATATTTTAACATATTTGACCCCTGTGACCTTGAAAGTGGGTTGAGGTCATTCATTTGAATAAACTTGGTAGCCTTTCCTCCCAGCATGCTACAGACCCAATATCGGCACTCATAGACTTTTGCTTATTGAGATGAAGTCCTTTGTATATTTTAACATATTTGACCCCTGTGACCTTGAAAGTGGGCCAAGGTCATTCATTTGAACAAACTTTGTAGGGCTCCATGCCAGCATGCTATGGGCCAAGTATTAGCCCCCTAGGCCTTCTAGTATTTGAGAAGAAGTTATTTAAAGATTTTGACATATTTGATCCCTGCGACCTTGAAAGTTGTTCAAGGTCATTCATTTAAATAAACTTGGTAGCCTTTCCTCCCAGCATGCTACAGACCCAATATCGGCACTCATAGACTTTTGCTTATTGAGATGAAGTCCTTTGTATATTTTAACATATTTGACCCCTGTGACCTTGAAAGTGGGCCAAGGTCATTCATTTGAACAAACTTTGTAGGGCTCCATGCCAGCATGCTATGGGCCAAGTATTAGCCCCCTAGGCCTTCTAGTATTTGAGAAGAAGTTATTTAAAGATTTTGACATATTTGACCCCTGTGACCTTGAAAGTTGTTCAAGGTCATTCATTTGAACAAACTTGATAGCCCTTCATCCCAGCATGCCACAGGCACAATATCAGCAATCTGAGCCTTTTGCTTATTGAGATGAAGTCCTTTGTATATTTTAACATATTTGACCCCTGTGACATTTAAAGTGGGCCAAGGTCATTCATTTGAACAAACTTTGTAGGGCTCCATGCCAGCATGCTATGGGCCAAGTATTAGCCCCCTAGGCCTTCTAGTATTTGAGAAGAAGTTATTTAAAGATTTTAACATATTTGACCCCTATGACCTTTAAAGTTGTTCAAGGTCATTCATTTGAACAAACTTGGTAGTCCTTCATCCCAGCATGTCACAGGCCCAATATCTACACTCTGAGCCTTTTGGTTAATGAGAAGAAGTTGTTTAAAGATTTTAACATATTTGACCCCTGTGACCTTTAAAGTGGGTCAAGGTCATTCATTTGAACAAACTTGGTAGAGCTCCATGCCAGTATCCTCTGTGCCAAGTATTAGCCCCCTAGACCTTCTAGTATTTGAGAAGAAGTCGTTTGAATGAAAAGTTTACGGACGGCGCACGGCGCACGACGACGGACGAAGCATGATGACTATAGGTCATCGGACCCTTCGGGTCAGATGACCTAAAAATCTATTGAGAAATAATTTGAAAAGCCAACAATACTTCAATCTCAATTTAAACCAGATTAATTGATCTTTTTTGCTATTGTGAATGAACATCTAATGTGCATGGTCCTCTATCTAAAGTCTTTCTGTTTATCAGGGAGCTGAAAACTAGTCTATGCTGTTGTGGTTATCAAAGAAGATATTTACCCCAACTGGGTTCATTGCTGAACTATTACAACATGAGATACTGCCCTTCAACCATAAACTCATGAACGCCCCCTGATTAATCTCTAACAAGGATACCATAGTCCAGAGAATGTGTATGAATCCATCTAGGTGTTGGCTATACCGGCTGATGACCGGTGGGGGAGGCTTGGTCATCTGAAGGCGGTCAGCTACATCCAGCTCAGGACCAGGATCAGGAAATTTACACTTCTCTATCTGCATAGTAAGCCTAGTTCAACATAAAGTTACAAGTCAAACCGTAGCAATGAGAGTCCTAAAAAAATAAACTTACACAACCAATACAGTATATCTTTATACCCCAGATAATGTATTCAATGTTTATCACAAATACATAAACAAATAAACCACTAACATTCAAACATCCTATCAAAATAAATTTTGGCTTCAAACACTCAACAGTAACTTTTAACACCTGGATTATAAGAAAATGTTATTTTTTTCTCTCTCAAAATTTGACCTAGAAATAACTTTCCATTAGACATCATGTTTCTTCAACTTTTGGCTTACCAGAGGGCATCTTTTATGTTTAGACAAATCTAACCCCTGTAACTGTGATTACAGTTGAAGGTAATTTCTTTTTGCAAACTTTTTGTCGAGATTCATAGTAGGAACATATCAGCCAAATATCATGCTTCTAGGCCTTTTGGTTCATCAGAAGAAGTTGTTTGAAGGTTTTGACAAACTTTACCCCTGTGACCTGGAATGTCGATCAAGGCTACTTCTTTTTGCAAACTTTGTCAGACTTCATCCTGACAACCTATTAGTTAAATACCATGCTTCTTCACTTTTTGGATAATTAGAAGTTGTATTAAGAGTTAAACAATTCAACCCCTGTGACCTTTAACACAGGTCAAGGTAAATTCTTTTAGCAATCTTTGTGCAGTTTTATCCCATCAACCCACTAGTCAAATATCATGACATTTAATTGGCCTTTTGCTTACTGAGAAGAAGTTGTTTGAATGGAAAAGTTGACACTGGGCTGGTGATCGATGGATGAGAGATGCCATACAAAGGCAGAAGCATACATGGCCGGGTCAGGTAAGCTAATAATCACTGAGGATTAATATATACAACATACCTTCGTATCTGTTTGGGTTCCAACTTGAAGCCATCGTCTACGTTATATTGCACTTCCACTGGCTCACAGCATACATTACAAACATCAAAAGCTAATACACAGTGGTCAGGACTGAAAATACAAGTAATTAATAAAAGTAAATGCAAGCTAGATCTCTACAATGAATACTCTAGTAAGTCTGGTTGCAGTTTTAGGGACTGTGGTAGCTGAGTGATTAGGCATCATATTGGCTGTCTTTATCACTAGCCCTACACCTCTGGGTCATTGGTTTGAGGTCTACATGGGGATATCAGGGGCTGTGATGGTCAAGTGGTTAAGGTATCTAGCTGTCTTTATCACTAGCCCTCTACCTCTCTGTTGTGTGTTTGAGGTCTACGTGGGGATATCAGGGGCTGTGGTGGTCAATTGGTTAAGGCATCTAGTTGTCTTTACCATTAGCCCTCTACCTCTGTGTTGTGTGTTTGAGGTCTTCGTGGGGATATCAGGGGCTGTGGTGGTCAAGTGGTTAAGGCATCTAGTTGTCTTTATCACTAGCCCTCTACCTCTGTGTTGTGTGTTTGAGGTCTTCGTGGGGATATCAGGGGCTGTGGTGGTCAAGTGGTTAAGGTATCTAGCTGTCTTTATCACTAGCCCTCTACTTCTTGGTCACCTGTTTGAGGATTACATGGGGCAGTAACAAGGTATTGACAGCAGGTTGGTGGTTTTTCTGGGGGAACTACCAGTTTCCTGGACCATCCAAACCTGGCATGTCCCTAAATGACCTTGACTGTCAGAAAAAGGTGAAGCAACAAGACCAGATGTTGCAGGGATTATCCTAGTAGTAGCTGGTAGCTACCTCACTCAACAACATACAGGAGGACCCTTGAACTCTCTACAGGACAATTTGGCTAAAGTATCTTGCTGAAGGACACATCTATCACAGTACAGACTGCTTTGTTTCTCAGCTTCCTAAGAAACAAAAAACTGCCATGGTTGAGAAAATCAAACCATGCACCTTGTTATCTTTATCTGAGGTCAGGTTGATCAACGTTTTACCAACTGTGTCATCACAGCCCCTTTAATCATGGTATTTTCTTGTTGCTTTTTGGTATCTTTTTTTCTTTGCATCTATATGTTTCGCCTGTACATGTGGGTGTCTTCAGGACATGTCTGGGCTAGCAGACATATAAAGATACCAACCTATCCTTGAGCTTGTTGTGATTGATTATTACCTTTATTTCCCACCCTTCCGTTCTTCAAATTGCCCTGCATTCCTAGAGGTATACAAGTAAGGGATAACACTATACTACCTGTACACGAAGCATGGCATTGACTCTACACCCCTGAGGATTCTATCTCCATACGATACATGACTGTACTGAATCCAAAGTGAATATACATAACACATCAAAATAACTCTATCTTTTCCTCTTATATTAGTCGCCCTGTAGTGACCTCTCTGTGTGACCTGACTGACCTTTCATTTCACACTGACATACATGATGACCTCTGATGACCTGTGACCTGACTGACCTTTCATTTCACACTGACATACATGATGACCTCTGATGACCTCTTTTGACCTGTGACCTGACTGACCTTTCATTTCACACTGACATACATGATGATCTCTGATGACCTGTGTGACCTGACTTACCCTTTCATTTCACACTGACATACATGATGACCTCTGATGACCTGTAACCTGACTTACCTTTCATTTCACATTGACATACATGATGATCTCTGATGACCTGTGTGACCTGACTGACCTTTAACATACATAATGACCCCATGATGACTTGACTGACCTTTCTGAAGGGAGAGCTTCCCAGGAATGGAAGATAATGGAAGGAAGAATATCAACACTGAAGGCAATAGCACAGTGTCGACAGTATCCAGCCTCCAGCCCAGGACCTCCACTGTACTCCAATCTCAGCAGTGACTCTACACACTACAAGGGAGGTAAATCTCAGATAAAGGGACACACAAAGATTTAAAACTATGTGAGATAAGTATTAAAAAGTAGAAATGAGCACTAGCAAAAGGCAAAATGGCTGAACCTTGTATTTTACAGTTCTTCCATGGTATAAACTAAAAGTCTGCATTAAGATAAAATTCTTTGTTTAAATTTTTTCCTTCTTATCGAAGGGAGATAAGTACCTCATTCACAGGAAAGAGATCAAAATAGCAAAGAAAAGCTCCATTCATGTGACCCTGAGACTTTTGAGTATTATTGTATAGTTGTTTGATTTTGCTGGGCTAATATTTCATGGATGTCTGGATTCCATGGGTATTACATTCTATGTCTATGAACTGATTCCATACTTACTGGTTAAATTTTCTAACATTTTCATCAACTAGAAATATTAGCTAACCAACTACTCAATAACATAAGCTATTAAACGTAAGCTCACCTTGGATTCATATTCATCAGGATTAGAGAGTTCGGAGGACAGTGATCCTGAAACAGGCAGGGAAATGTTTGTAATCTTGGGATAATTATATTATTACTTGTGCAACAGAAATCTTTTTTAAAACTGATTTCACTCCATTATGGTTAAAATAATATGAAAATTGCTACCAATACACAGCTACTCACCACCACGGGAACTTTTGTTAGACAGGAAGTCAGAGTTACCATAGATACACAAAGTAAAACAGACAAGCCCAGATGGCTGGAGAGGAAGCTGGGCATCAAGGTTCTCCTGGCTCCACTGGAACACTTTTGACTGAAGCTCTGTCATCACAAACAAACAATTCAATATTTACTGAAGTACACAATAACATGAAGTCAAATGTAACAAATCTGAAAGAAAAACATTATTGGATAAACCTTCTTATGTAGCAACCAACAATAACTTTCGAGAAACAGACCATATCATATTTTACTCATTACTTTCATCACTGTAATTAATTAACTTTTGAGAAACAGACCATATCATACTTTGCTCATTGCTTTTATCCCTGTAATTTTCACTTTTGAGAAACTGACCATATCATATTTTACTTATTGCTTTCAACCCTATTACTAACTTTTGAGAAACAAACAATATCATATTTTGCTTATTGCTTTCATCCCTGTAATTTCACTTTTGAGAAACTGACCACATCATACTTTGCTCATTGCTTTTATCCCTGTAATTTCACTTTTGTGAAACAGACCATATCATATATTACTCATTGCTTTCATCCCTGTTACTAACTTTTGAGAAACAGACAAAATCATATTTTGCTCATTGCTCTCATCCCTGTAATTAACTTTTATGAAACAGACCATATCATACACTGCTAATTGTCGTTACCCCTTTGATGAACTTTTGCAAAAGTGCTTTTTTTGAGGAAATTCACCAGAGTCAATGGCAACAGAAAGAATGTGAATTTACAGTAATGGTGCAGAGATTTATGAAAAAGCATCTGTGGTGTGATAATATAAAAGTTATGGATTAGAAAAGGTAGAAAATATTTACCTTTTTGGTCAGGATGACAATCAAGACTGACCGAGATCTTCTCAACAGGCTGGTTACTAGTATTACGAAGTGTGATCATACACTCTTTACTGAAACAGACATGTTGATTACCTCAAAGAATATGTAAATCACAGACTTCTCCATGTGTCATTTCATGCAAACTCCACTTTAAAAATTTGGTAAATACAATGCAAATACAATTCCATGCCTGCCAAAACAAAATAAAATTTCAAATTAAAAATCTTTCATTACGGTGATAAACTGACCTTTGACCTGCGTAGATTGAGGTTGTACCACTAGTTACAACGTTAGCACCATCACCGACAGAAGTAAAGGTTGCAACCTTTGGAAGTGAAGCTGTAAGTGTGATCTGAGGGAGGGCAGGAATTACAGTTACAGTTGTCCGTAGATCACGAAGTTCAGGGAGGTCACGCAAACGACACTGACTCTTCATCCCAAGTAAGTGAGTTGTGTAACCAAGGATACAGAGGTCACCTGAAGATCGGGGACGACTAAGTACTTTGACTAGACTTGGACCTGACTCAGCAGGTATGGTAGGATTGGTTGGATAAGCTTCAATTTCAACACCATCTGTCATTAATGACTGCAACACACGAAAATAACATATAATGTCCCACTAATACAAGTGTGTCTTACAACAGTAAACATATAATGTCCCACTAATACAAGTTTGTCTTACAACAGTAAACATATAATGTCCCACTAATACAAGTTTGTCTTACAACAGTAAACATATAATGTCCCACTAATACAAGTTTGTCTTACAACAGTAAACATATAATGTCCCACTAATACAAGTGTGTCTTACAACAGTAAACATATAATGTCCCACTAATACAAGTGTGTCTTACAACAGTAAACATATAATGTCCCACTAATACAAGTTTGTCTTACAACAGTAAACATATAATGTCCCACTAATACAAGTGTGTCTTACAACAGTAAACATATAATGTCCCACTAATACAAGTTTGTCTTACAACAGTAAACATATAATGTCCCACTAATACAAGTTTGTCTTACAACAGTAAACATATAATGTCCCACTAATACAAGTTTGTCTTACAACAGTAAACATATAATGTCCCACTAATACAAGTTTGTCTTACAACAGTAAACATATAATGTCCCACTAATACAAGTGTGTCTTACAACAGTAAACATATAATGTCCCACTAATACAAGTTTGTCTTACAACAGTAAACATATAATGTCCCACTAATACAAGTTTGTCTTACAACAGTAAACATATAATGTCCCACTAATACAAGTTTGTCTTACAACAGTAAACATATAATGTCCCACTAATACAAGTGTGTCTTACAACAGTAAACATATAATGTCCCACTAATACAAGTTTGTCTTACAACAGTAAACATATAATGTCCCACTAATACAAGTGTGTCTTACAACAGTAAACATATAATGTCCCACTAATACAAGTTTGTCTTACAACAGTAAACATATAATGTCCCACTAATACAAGTGTGTCTTACAACAGTAAACATATAATGTCCCACTAATACAAGTTTGTCTTACAACAGTAAACATATAATGTCCCACTAATACAAGTGTGTCTTACAACAGTAAACATATAATGTCCCACTAATACAAGTTTGTCTTACAACAGTAAACATATAATGTCCCACTAATACAAGTTTGTCTTACAACAGTAAACATATAATGTCCCACTAATACAAGTGTGTCTTACAACAGTAAACATATAATGTCCCACTAATTTTATTATAAGTTGGCTGTTAGTACATCATACCTACCATCTGTTTAATACTGAGCTCATCAGGGAGTGGATTGCACACCTGAAGCTGTACTTCACACATATCATGCTCCACCCAGCAGAAATCTGTCAATGTGTAAATTGTACTGGGTTAATATAAATTTTACTTGATTAATATACTATAGCTAATGGCAAACCTGTCTTAAAGACTTCCTCTTTATACCAATTACATGTCTATAAAGGCCATCTCTTTAGAACAAGTATTCTTTGAAGGTCATCTCTATATAAACAAAAGGCCTAAGAGGCCTGCATTGCTCACTTGGCTAATTCAGCTATTCAGTCTTTTAACATTTAGTAAAGAATTTCAAATATGATAAATAAATTATAGATAATTTCTAAAATAATATCAGGCCCAGGCCTTGTGGTAAAACAGAAGTCAGATTTACCAGTCATAAAGCTTGCTTCAGACCATAATTGGGCAATATCCTTGCATGGAGGAAACATTTTCATTTGGCCTGATATCTTTTATCTTACAGTCCTTGTTAATACAAGATTAGGTTTTATTTAAATAGGTTCAAATTTTCAAAAGCAAAAACATAAATAGGGTTTGAATTCCCCAATATCAATTCGAGAAAGATGTTTTCTATATTTCAGTGAAAAAAATAAAAAAGTGCTTTGTAATTTTAATTTTAATATACATTCATGCCAACCATGAAGCCAAAACCCACTGTTATACAGTAACAAATTTGATTCCCCTTCATCCACACAGGTTTCCGAACAAAATGGGAAAAAATCAAGGCATTCCAACGAAGAAGAAGGATTTTAAAGAATTTGCTCTATTTCCCCTATTGAGTCCCACCCTTTCCTGCCCAATGGAGGCAGGATCAATCGTTTACACAAAGTTGATTCCCCATCACCAAGGAATGCTTCAGACCAAATTTGGGCAAAATACGACCACTTATACAGGAGGAGCAGGGTTTTTAAAATTTGTTCTAATTCCTCTATTGGGCTATGCCCTCATACATCAGGGATTGTGAGATGTATCATTTTGACAAAATTGATTCCCCTTCATCCATTTTTGATTCTGACCTATTTTGGGCATATTCCAATTATTCCTAAAGGAAGAGCTGGATTTTACAGAAATCGCTCTATTTCCCTGAATGAGCCCCTCCCCTTCCACTCCTGGGGGTTGAGAACTAGTATAAATACAGACTTAGTTCTTCTCTTTCCGAAGGAGGCTTCTGACAAACTTTTGTCAAAATCTGTTCGGTCCCTCATGACTAGTACCCATTTTTTGTAAAAATTTGATGAATTTTTGATGAAGGATGGACAGATGCTGTGCCACGACATAAGCTCACCTGCCCTAAGGAGCAGTTGAGCAACAAGTTAATGTCAGATCATCATAAAGATCATCTCTATATAACAATTACCTGTCTAAAAAATCTCCACTTTAGACCAAATACCTGTCTATAAAGGTCACCTTGTTAGAACAATTACCTGTCTACTAATGTATCTGCTTTAGACCAAATACCTGTCTATAAAGGTCACCTTGTTAGAACAATTACTTGTCTACTAATGTGTCTTCTTTTGATCAAATACTTGTCAAAAAGACCACCTCATTCGAATAAATACCTGTCTATAGAGGCCATCTCGTTAGAACAATTACCAGTCTACAAAAAGTCATCTCTATAGACCAAACACTTGTCCATTTGGCAAAATCTATATTGCAAACATATGAACTTGTCTATAAGAGCATCTCTTAGTAGAAAATAACTGTTTAAAACAGCCACTTCTTTCTGATTCCGGTTATGATTTTCTTCAAAATGCATCAGTTATGGAAACAGAAAGACTTAATTACCTGAACATGTATACCAAATTGGAGTGAGATAGGGAAATCTCAAGTAGTTCCCTGTACTAGGGAAATCTCAAGTAGTACCCAGTACTAGGGAATTCTCAAGTAGTACCCAGTATTAGGGAATTCTCAAGTAGTTCCCTGTACTAATGAAATCTCAAGTAGTACCCAGTACAAGGGAAATCTCAAGTAGTACCCAGTACTAGGGAAATCTCAAGTAGTACCCAGTACTAGGGAATTCTCAAGTAGTTCCCTGTGCTAATGAAAGCTCAAGTAGTTCCCTGTACCAGGGAAATCTCAAGTAGTTCCCTGTACTAGGGAAATCTCAAGTAGTACCCAGTACTAGGGAATTCTCAAGTAGTACCCAGTACTAATGAAATCTCAAGTAGTACCCAATACCAGGGAAATCTCAAGTAGTACCCAATACTAGGGAAATCTCAAGTAGTACCCAATACTAGGGAAATCTCAAGTAGTACCCAGTACTAGGGAAATCTCAGGTAGTACCCAGTACTATGGAAATCTCAAGTAGTACCCAGTACTAGGGAAATCTCAAGTAGTACCCAGTACTGGGGAAATCTCAAGTAGTACCCAGTACTAGGGAAATCTCAAGTAGTTCCCTGTACTAATGAAATCTCAAGTAGTACCCAATACTAGGGAAATCTCAAGTAGTACCCAATACTGGGGAAATCTCAAGTAGTACCCAATACTAGGGAAATCTCAAGTAGTACCCAATACTAGGGAAATCTCAAGTAGTACCCAGTACTAATGAAATCTCAAGTAGTACCTAGTACTAGGGAAATCTCAAGTAGTTCCCTGTACTAATGAAATCTCAAGTAGTTTTCAGTACTAGGGAAATTTCAAGTAGTACCCAATACTAGGGAAATCTCAAGTAGTACCCAGTACTAGGGAATTCTCAAGTACTACCCAGTGCTGGTGAAATCTCAAGAAGTACCCAGTACTAGGGAATTCTCAAGTAGTACCCAGTACTAGGGAAATCTCAAGTAGTACCCAATACTAGGGAAATCTCAAGTAGTACCCAGTACTAGGGAAATCTCAAGTAATACCCAATACTAGGGAAATCTCAAGTAGTACCCATTACTAGGGAATTCTCAAGTAGTACCCAGTACTAGGGAAATCTCAAGTAGTTCCCTGCACTAGGGAAATCTCAAGTAGTACCCAGTACTAGGGAATTCTCAAGTAGTACCCAGTACTAGGGAAATCTCAAGTAGTACCTAGTACTAGGGAAATCTCAAGTAGTACCCAGTAGTACTAAGGAAATCTCAAGTAGTACCCAGTACTAGGGAAATCTCAAGTAGTACCCAATACTAGGGAAATCTCAAGTAGTACCCAGTACTGGGGAAATCTCAAGTAGTACCCAGTACTGGGGAAATCTCAAGTAGTACCCAATACTAGGGAAATCTCTCAAGAGTACCCAGTACTGGGGAAATCTCAAGTACTGGGGTAAATCTCAAGTAGTACCCAGTACTGGGGAAATCTCAAGTAGTACCCAGTACTGGGGAAATCTCAAGTAGTACCCAGTACTGGGGAAATCTCAAGTAGTACCCAGTACTAGGGAAATCTCAAGTAGTACCCAGTACTGGTAGTACCCAGTACCAGGGAAATCTCAAGTAGTACCCAATACTAGGGAAATCTCAAGCAGAACCAATACTAGGGAAATCTCAAGTAGTACCCAGTACTAGGGAAATCTCAAGTAGTACCCAGTACTGGGGAAATCTCAAGTAGTACCCAGTACTGGGGAAATCTCAAGTAGTACCCAGTACTAGGGAAATCTCAAGTAGTACCCAATACTGGGGAAATCTCAAGTAGTACCCAATACTAGGGAAATCTCAAGCAGAACCAATACTAGGGAAATCTCAAGTAGTACCCAGTACTAATGAAATCTCAAGTAGTACCCAATACTAGGGAAATCTCAAGTAGTACCCAGTACTGGGGAAATCTCAAGTAGTACCCAGTACTGGGGAAATCTCAAGTAGTACCCAGTACTGGGGAAATCTCAAGTAGTACCCAGTACTGGGGAAATCTCAAGTAGTACCCAGTACTAATGAAATCTCAAGTAGTACCCAGTACTGGGGAAATCTCAAGTCCAGTAGTACCCAGTACTAGGGAAATCTCAAGTAGTTCCCTGTACTAGGGAAATCTCAAGTAGTACCCAGTACTAGGGAAATCTCAAGTAGTACCCAGTACTAATGAAATCTCAAGTAGTACCCAGTACTAGGGAAATCTCAAGTAGTACCCAGTACTGGGGAAATCTCAAGTAGTACCCAGTACTGGGGAAATCTCAAGTAGTACCCAATACTGGGGAATTCTCAAGTAGTACCCAGTACTAGGGAAATCTGAAGGAGTACCCAGTACTAGAGAAATCTCAAGTAGTACCCAGTACTGGGGAAATCTCAAGTAGTACCCAGTACTAGGGAAATCTCAAGTAGTACCCAGTACTAGGGAAATCTCAAGTAGTACCCAGTACTAGGGAAATCTCAAGTAGTACCCAGTACTGGGGAAATCTCAAGTAGTACCCAATACTAGGGAAATCTCAAGTAGTACCCAGTACTGGGGAAATCTCAAGTAGTACCCAATACTAGGGAAATCTCAAGTAGTACCCAGTACTGGGGAAATCTCAAGTAGTACCCAGTACTGGGGAAATCTCAAGTAGTACCCAGTACTGGGGAATTCGCAAGTAGTACCCAGTACTGGGGAAATCTCAAGTAGTACCCAGTACTGGGGAATTCGCAAGTAGTACCCAGTACTGGGGAAATCTCAAGTAGTACCCAATACTAGGGAAATCTCAAGTAGTACCCAGTACTGGGGAAATCTCAAGTAGTACCCAGTACTGGGGAAATCTCAAGGGGAAATCTCAAGTAGTACCCAGTACTGGGGAAATCTCAAGTAGTACCCAGTACTGGGGAAATCTCAAGTAGTACCCAGTACTAATGAAATCTCAAGTAGTACCCAGTACTGGGGAAATCTCAAGTAGTACCCAGTACTGGGGAAATCTCAAGTAGTACCCAGTACTGGGGAAATCTCAAGTAGTACCCAGTACTGGGGAAATCTCAAGTAGTACCCAGTACTGGGGAAATCTCAAGTAGTACCCAGTACTGGGGAAATCTCAAGTAGTACCCAGTAGTACTAGGGAAATCTCAAGTAGTACCCAGTACTGGGGAAATCTCAAGTAGTACCCAGTACTGGGGAAATCTCAAGTAGTACCCAGTACTGGGGAAATCTCAAGTAGTACCCAGTACTGGGGAAATCTCAAGTAGTACCCAGTACTGGGGAAATCTCAAGTAGTACCCAGTAGTACTAAGGAAATCTCAAGTAGTACCCAGTACTAGGGAATTCTCAAGTAGTACCCAGTACTGGGGAAATCTCAAGTAGTGCCCAGTACTGGGGAAATCTCAAGTAGTACCCAGTACTAGGGAAATCTCAAGTAGTACCCAGTACTACTACCCAGTACTGGGGAAATCTCAAGTAGTACCCAGTACTGGGGAAATCTCAAGTAGTACCCAGTACTGGGGAAATCTCAAGTAGTACCCAGTACTGGGGAAATCTCAAGTAGTACCCAGTAGTACTAGGGAAATCTCAAGTAGTACCCAGTACTAGGGAAATCTCAAGTAGTACCCAGTACTGGGGAAATCTCAAGTAGTACCCAGTACTGGGGAAATCTCAAGTAGTACCCAGTACTGGGGAAATCTCAAGTAGTAGTACCCAGTACTGGGGAAATCTCAAGTAGTACCCAGTACTGGGGAAATCTCAAGTAGTACCCAGTACTGGGGAAATCTCAAGTAGTACCCAGTACTGGGGAAATCTCAAGTAGTACCCAGTACTGGGGAAATCTCAAGTAGTACCCAGTACTGGGGAAATCTCAAGTAGTACCCCTACCCAGTACTGGGGAAATCTCAAGTAGTACCCAGTACTGGGGAAATCTCAAGTAGTACCCAGTACTGGGGAAATCTCAAGTAGTACCCAGTACTGGGGAAATCTCAAGTAGTACCCAGTACTAGGGGTAAATCTCAAGTAGTAGTACTAGGGAAATCTCAAGTAGTACCCAGTACTGGGGAAATCTCAAGTAGTACCCAGTACTAGGGAAATCTCAAGTAGTACCCAGTACTGGGGAAATCTCAAGTAGTACCCAGTACTGGGGAAATCTCAAGTAGTACCCAGTACTGGGGAAATCTCAAGTAGTACCCAGTACTAGGGAAATCTCAAGTAGTACCCAGTACTAGGGAAATCTCAAGTAGTACCCTGTACTGGGGAAATCTCAATTAGTACCCAGTACTGGGGAAATCTCAAGTAGTACCCAGTACTGGGGAAATCTCAGTAGTACTAGGGAAATCTCAAGTACCCAGTACTAGGGAAATCTCAAGTAGTACCAAGAAGTACAGAATGATTAGGGAAATCTCAAGTATGTGTTCTAGACTGATATGATTCAGTCTCAGGTTGACATTCAGTAACATCTCTGTCTCAGGTTGACATTCAGTAACATCTCTGTCTCAGGTTGACATTCAGTAACATCTCTGTCTCAGGTTGACATTCAGTAACATCTCTGTCTCAGGTTGACAATCTGTAACATCTCATTCTCAGCTTACTTCAAATAAGAAATAATTACAGAATGTCAGCCCTAGACTGAGACAGATTAACCTAGGACACATACAGGTAGCAGTGAATATGATGACCTACCAACATGAGTTTTATTCTGGACGTCTGTGTGGCCGAGGGACAGTGGGGTGAAGATGAAAGGTCCTGTGTCCTGTTTTTCAACCTTGGATTCAATCTTAACTGGCTGTAGATGTGGTGAAAGTGGTATTAATTTGAAAGACCTGCAATCACCAAAAAATTCTAAATATTTGACAAAAATTCATCATGTGTTCAAAACAATTGTAGATAGCAATTCAAATGCAGTATTAGGTATATTCTGGTCGTAGTATCATTGTGGTTTTCCTTCTTGTTTCCATATTAGGAAATACACATTAAATTTGTGAGACAATTAACCTGTCTGTATCTATTACTTAACTAATCGTATATGACATGTAGAGCTTTTACTTCATAAAAGAGTTGATTAGGATTAATCTGCAAAACAAGTAGTTTATTTACAAGTATATAATATAAAACTCCTGTGTGGGTCTAAGTAATCCTCCAGTTTGTTGACTGTCCTGTGTGACAGAGTCTGAGAAAGAGAGATTGAAGGGATAGAGAGGTTTAGGACGGTGTGGTGGGGGAGCTCACAGCTTACCTGACTTGTGGTATATTATTAAGAGGTATAGGGGGCAGGATGACCCCACTGTTGAGGGCAAGAGGGGCAGTCGTGCCCTCTGACTTTGCTGTGAGGCTCTGGAGGGTATTTATGATGTCCCTTTTGTCCTGAGTCGTCAAAGTATCAAACAGGGTGTGTAGTAACAGACTCAGGTGTCTGTAACAAAACCAAACAGATCTTGCTATAATTATTTCAATGTTAGTAATATTCATATCTCTTTTTTTCCACTCTAACCTTTTCCTGTGATAAGTTTTACAATCGATTATACGACCACAGATAGAAGATGGCTTACTCTTTAGTAGAAGTAAAATAAGTGTAGGGAAGTAAAATTTTGTACAACATCTACTAAAATCTATTACAATCCAAGTGAAACATCAAATCAACATTTAATGTCTCATAATTGTGATGTTGAATTGTGTTTAAGGACTTAATGGTAATTTTATAATATTTCAGTTCAAGAGTTAAACAATTATATTTAAAAAGTATTTACAATTGGTACTGCTATCACACATTTCTGGAGATTCTTCCTTGATGAAGAAATACTCCTATATACAGTGCTGTGTTGTGGGAGTATTTTCTTTGAGAGTATTAACTCACCTGATAGCTACGGGAATGTTACCGGTACGACGGGCTGAGAAGATTAGCTCATTCAGCACTCGAGCCTGAAGTACAGGCCATCCATATACAATACCTGTCAACACATTAATTATGTCAGTCAACTGCTTAATCATCGACACACATAAAAGTGTGTAAAACAACTAGAACCATCAAATAACTACCTTCTACAATAAAACTACATTTCAATATCCAAACTGTTTGACATTATCTAAGTTCATGGACCATAAGTTTGGAAAGAAATTAATTGACCACAACAAAATAAAAAAATTGAGCTTTTTGTTCTCCTTGTATCTACAACATACCAAATCTCAGTTCCATATCTCCATCTGTCAAACAGTCAATAGAAACTAAATAATGACAGAGGGTTTGTACTACAACATACCAAATCTCAGTTCTGTATCTCCATCTGTCAAACAGTCAATAGAAACTAAATAATGACAGAGTGTTTGTACTACAACATACCAAATCTCAGTTCTATATCTCCATCTGTCAAAGTCAATAGAAACTAAATAATGACAGAGGGTTTGTACTACAACATGCCAAATCTCAGTTCTATATCTCCATCTGTCAAAGTCAATAGAAACTAAATAATGACAGAGTGTTTGTACTACAACATACCAAATCTCAGTTCTGTATCTCCATCTGTCAAACAGTCAATAGAAACTAAATAATGACAGAGTACATACCAGGTGTTTATCAAACATATTATATTGAAGGACTTAGAAATGTATGCATTGATGTCTGGGCACAAATCCTTCATGACCCTGAAATGAACCCATCTGACCTTTAGGAATATCTTTAGGGTCCAGACAAATACTGTAGCCATCCAGACACTGCATAACCAAGCTGTGACACAGTCTCCAGTTTTGCTGAGGGTTCTGGGGGGACACACACTGCATTGCTGCAATACGTTTAAAGAAGGCAGCCTTTCGCTGAAAGCCTATCTCTCCGTATAACTGGGATAAGGTACAGTAACGGTTTATCTATAAAAAGGAAATAAAAATGAAGTGAAATACTCACAGCATCTGCACAAAATTAAAAGACAACAATAATGTGATAAGTATTTCATGTTTGGTATACTGTGAAAAACAGGCTTGTTAATTTCATGTTCCATTGCAATTTTAACAAAAACTCCCAGTGGGATCTTGGCGACCACCATTCATTGTTCATTATTTGTTCTTTAAAATCAGGATCCTTTCCCTTCTCTTCTCTGTTTTCACTCTTAATGAAAAAACCATTGAACATTCCTTTGCAGAAATAGCCATGATAATCTTTACCTGCAAAATCCAAAATGGCTACCTGGAAGCCATTTTGTTTCTTCTAATCAGTCCCAAAATCAAACGGGTACAAGCAGAGACCAAAGAGAACATACATATGAAATTTGAGAGATATGCATTCAGTACTTCTTAAGAAATAGGGCAAACAATATTTACTAGGCAAAATCTAAGATGGCTGCCTTTTGGCCTTTTCGTTTTTCTAATCAGTCCAAAACCCAAACAGGCACAACAAGGGATCACAAAGAACCTGTACATAAAATTTGAGAAAGATTCTCAAGGAATAGCAAACAAATTTCAAAGTCAAGATCTAAGATGGCTGCCTGTCGGCCATTTCATTTTTTCTGATCAGTCCTGAAATCTAATGGGAATAACTAGGGACCAAGTCCTAGGAACCTCCATACAAAATTTAAGAAAGATCCATTCAGTACTTCTCAGGAAATAGCAATAACAAACTTTCAAAGTTAAAATACTAGATAGCCGTCTTTCCACCATTTTGTTTTTCTGATCAGTGCCAACATTGCATGGGCACAACTAGAGACCAAGGGGAACCTGCATATGAAATCTGAGAGAGATCCATCCCATATTTCTCAAGAAAAAGCAATAACAAAAACTGTTTACAACGGACAGATGACAGACTGATGAACAACAGACCATGGAAGCAGGGTGATTTAAATAGCCCACCATCATAAGATGGTGGACTAACAAAATCACATATCCTTGCTGATATGTGATTGAAGTTCAAATATGTATAATTTCTTCTTCACATTTAATTCAGTTTTCCTAATCATAACCCACATGGGGATACAACTAACACATTATAAAGACAAAAAGCTGGCAACTTGCCTTATCTTCATCAGAAGTCTGAAGATTGATGTAGACAACATTTTGTAGAAAATCAGAGGCCTGGAGATATTTCTGAAATGAATGGAAAATACCTTAAAATATATACAGCTGGAACCAAACTATAGTACAGTAACGGTCAATGTAAACATAGAATCCACACAACCGCTTTGGTTGTATGACATTGTCCACATGATGACTAAGGTCATATGACATTATTCCACACCACAACTCGGGTCATATGACATTATTCCACTCCACAATTCGGGTCATATGACATTATTCCACACCACAACTCGGGTCATATGACATTATTCCACACCACAACTTGGGTCATATGACATTATTCCACACCACAACTCGGGTCATATGACATTATTCCACACCACAACTTGGGTCATATGACATTATTCCACACCACAACTCGGGGTTTTTTTACCCATTTTTGGCCCTGCCCATCAGCCCCTGAGGACCAGCGGAGGTCAACAGGCACATCTCATCAGACTCTCAGCTTATACTAATAATTCTAAACAAAGTTTGATTGACATAAAATAGAAAATAAACAAATTGATTTCAACAAGAGATCCCAGAGGGATCTTGGCGCCCACCATTTGAGGATCTGTTTTCAGTTCTTGAAGATCTGTTTATTTTTTTTTTGTTTGTTACAGGTGTTGTAAATGTTCATGAACTGGTCTTCATTGAATGTACTCAATGATGACACAAGATATTTTTATTAAGCACCTATTAGCAAATATCATTTGAAAAAGATCCCAAAGTAGATAGCAGTCAGTTACAGGTGGATAATGGACAATATGCTTGTGCTGTATTACTGTCGACATCCAAGATGGCTGCCTGTGGGACACCTTGATTTCAAATCAGTCCAAAAAAGGTACAATGCACAACTAGGGACCAAGGGAAACCAATATCTATGAAATATCAGAAGGATCCATCCAGTACTTCTTCAGATATAGCAGTAACAAGATTTTACTCTCAAAATCCAAGATCTTGATTTCGGATCAGTCCAAAAAGGTATAATGCACAACTTGGAACCAAAGGGAACCTGCATATGAAATTTGAAAAAGATCCATCCAGTACTTTCCAAGAAATAGCAGTAACAACTTTTACATTCAAAATACAAGATGGCCACCTGTCTGCCATCTTGAATTCGAATCAGTCCAAAAAAGGTACAATGCACAACTAGGGACCAAGGGGAAACTGCATACGGAATTTGAGAAAGATCCATCCAGTACTTTCCAAGAAATAGCAGTAACAAACTTTTACATCCAAAATCCAAGATGGCTTCCTGTCGGCCATCTTGAATTCGAATTAGTCCAAAATAGGTACAATGCACAACTAGGGACCAAGGGGAAACTGCATATGAAATTTGAGAAAGATCCATCTAGTACTTTCTAAGAAATAGCAGTAACAAACTTTTACTTCCAAAATCCAAGATGGCTGCCTGTCAGCCATCTTGATTTCGGATCAGTCCAAAAAGGTATAATGCCCAACTTGGAACCAAAGGGAACCTGCATATGAAATTTGAGAAAGATCCATCCAGTACTTTCCAAGAAATAGCAGTAACAAACTTTTACATTCAAAATCCAAGATGGCCACCTGTCGGCCATCTTGAATGCGAATCAGTTCAAAAAAGGTACAATGCACAACTAGGGACCAAGGGGAACCTGCATATGAAATTTGAGAAAGATCCATCCTGTACTTTTCCAGAAATAGCGGTAACAAGAATTGTTTACGCACGGAGAACGGATGGACGACGCACCATGGACGCACGGCAATTTGAATAACCCACCATCTATTAGATGGTGGGCTAAAAATGTAATTTTCCTACATACACTATTGTAAATGTTACCCCTCCCCAAAGGGAAATGTGAGACCCTGAGGTCATGAAATTTACAATTTTGGTAAAGCACCATCAGGCCTTTCCATCCATATGAAGAATATTTAATATACTATACTTGGGATTTGATAAGTTTTTTCAAGTTTCAATCAATTTGATCTTTTTTGGCCCTGCCCCTAACGTCCCTGGGGGTTGGGGACCATATAATTTACAATTTCATTGCATTTTTAGTCATGGCATTATTTTGTAAAATTCTATTGAAATCGGTTCGGGAGTTTTCCAGAAGAAGTCCCAAATGTTAAAAGTTTACACTGCATGATGCCAGACAAAAGGGGATTGCAACACACCACCCTGACACTTCCTCTAAGGTGACCTAAAAATCAAACAAATACTCCTTGCATAGAATCAGTTAAGATTTATTTCCCTTTAGTTCAAGTTTTGTGAAGTAGATGAAGGCAAGGGCATGTAAGTGAGATATGTGTATAATCAATTAAGTATTTAGTTATAGTGTGATTTTTACCAAAATGTGGTCAGATCAATTTAAGGAGAAATAATTTTAACAATGGGGGTCAGATCAATTAAACAAGAAATAATTTTAACAAAATGACAGATTAATTGAACGAGAAATATTTATACCAAAATGAGGTAAGATCAGACAGGTTAAGGAGAACATTATTGTCGGCATATTTCATTTGTTTCAGTTCAATGTCCTCACAATGGATGGGTGCTTTTTTGTAACCTACATCCTAATTGTGTATCATTATGACACATAAGATTGTGAGATGAGCACCAAGATTATAATACAATTTAAATCTTAAGTCAAACTGTGAGTTTACACATTGATTTTACCTCATAAAGACTAATTTACAAAAGAATTGTTTGATAAATGTTTTAAATTTGGACTTTTGAAAAGAAACTGTTAATATTTCCGGTATTGGGTTATCGTCTATAAGCCATTCTCCACTCCCATCGGCTGTCAAGCTTATCACTATACCATCTATACTGACTTAGTGATAACAAAGGGCATTAACTCTACCGTAAGCAAAGACAACACAAATCATAAACATGCAACAAACAAAACACAAATCTATTAAATTTAAATCTATTTTTTAATTATGATAACAAAATCTTATGAAAAATAATGTACATTATTACACAAGGTATTTACAAGATGCTGAAAAATTAATTATTGAATATTATATACTATACATTATATTCTGCATCTATTAAATCAAATAAAAAACAGTATTTATGGAAAATATAGCTGATAACAATCCTGGAATTATATACACTCTGTACAGACATACTATAAATTACAATATTATATTTGGCACTAATGAGATGATAATCCAATGATCATATTGGTAAATCTACCTTAGTATTACATTGTCTGTTAAACTCTTCATATTGGAGGAATTCAAGAGAATGATAAACAATTTCTTGGTAAAAATTTGATGAAGGGATGTGGAAAGAAATTGATGACTAATTCTCCCTTATTGTACAAATCAAATTATAGACATTTGTAAATAATTAAATCATGATTTTCATAACTACTCATTCATTCTTTTAAGTATTTAACTAAAATACCTGATGTAATGCCTGGATTAAATTATCCATTCTCCAATAAAATGAATTTCCAAAAATAAGTCCACTTAAGAAATACTCCATAAAAGGTCACAAACATAATCACTGTTCACATTGGCACTATTTATAGATCTAGTCACTATTGGATTGCAATGTCCACAAAACATAAGAGATTTCTACACAGATCAGCTCTTCAGGATTTCCAAAGTTTCAAACAGATTTAATATGGAGCATACATATGGTTAGCCCGTTGTCTCCGTCCACCACGTCGTGCTTCTTCACGATGCATGCTCACCATGTGTACAATGGGAGAATATTCTGGGAACTTGTTGATGAAGTAGTTGGGTACCTGTCGTCGAGTGTTATGGGCGCGACTCCTCTTATTGGCAAACCATGAGCGTACCTGAGCTAGCGTGATATTGGCTGTTTGTGATAATATCACCTTTTCATCCTCGGAAGGATAGGGGTTCTCCGAATGATTTTCGTACCACTGATTCAAAATCTGCCTTGCTTCTGTACTTAGTTGTTGGTAGTTTGGTTTCACAAATGCATTTGCTGGTTTACCACCTTCACGTTTAAACTTGCGTTTGATTGGATGTTGGTTTCCTGTGATGCTGAGGGTGTTGTATGTACGGACACGTTTGTTGGCCATCCATTTCTTGACCTGTGTCTTGGTCAATCCACAGGAAACACACAGCTGCTGCACCTCAAAGTCAGATGGGTAAGGGTAGGAAATATGCTCCTCATACCATTTGGTCAAAATCACTGTGGCCTCAGGGGTCAAGCATCGATTCCGGCCAATCATTGTCTGCACCTTTGGATGGTCATTTTGCTGGGGTGGATCAGTCGTGCTACTGACCTCACAGTTATTTCTTGACTCATCAATAACTAACTTCTCACCTGTATCTGTAATCTCTCCAGAGGTCGGAAGGTCAAGTTCGGCGGTAGCCATGGCGAAAATATCAAGAGGTTTGTTTACACAATCACTATTGTCACACTGAGGAGATTCATCATTACAACTGGAGACATTGTCTCGACACTTCAGATCATTCTGTACCTGGTCCATTAGAAAGCTTGAAGTATTGTTCTGATTCTGTCTAGCAACAGCACATTGGTTCTGAAGAGAAACATGAGTCTGTGGGCAAATGTCTTTAATATTTTTATATACAGGAAAACAAACCTCATCTGGTGTTATAGAACTCTGGTGAAACACAACATCGCTGTCACTAAAGTCACAGACATCAATGTCAGAATCAGAGGAAAATGCACTTCCAGTTGATACACAAGAAACTGTTGACAACGGTCGACACATATCAGGGCTCGGATTGTCAAAGTGTGTTTCCTTGGAAATATCACCAAACTTCAGTTGTCTAGCTGTAGTTCCAACATGTTGAGCTAAATCAGAATTTACAATGGCTCGAGGTCTTGGTCGCACCTGTTGTTGTTCACTCCCTTGACACAGAATTTCCTCTAGGTCTGGTGTGCTGCTGTTTGTAGTAGTACTTGTGTTGAAGAGTTGTCCCCCTTGTTGACTGCTGAAACTGTCATTGTCTGGACTAGATCCATTTGAACAGATGGAAGCATTACATCTACGTGGCTTTATAAGAAGGTCCAGCTCAGAGTGGATGTGGTTTATCAACTTCAGTCTTTTCTCATCAAAGCAGTTGTTGACAGTCATTGTGGCATGTTCTGAAACTGAGGCTGCACAGAGTGCTTGGTATCGAGCCACCTCAATTGAACCAACCTCTGAACTATAATAAGCAGATAATTTCCCTACATCCTGTCTTAAAGCATTATCCTCCCGCATCTTCTTCATTCGGTCTTGGATGCTGGTGTGGCGCGTAAATACCTGGTTTCCAAGGTCAAATTTGGTTGTTGAGTGAGGAATACCAACCCACGGTGAACTCATTTTCAGGAGATTGGTAGGGACATGATAGTTCTCACATTCTGCCACCAGGAGTCTCTGTAGGTCCTGAAACATTGGATTCTGCTGAAGTCGTTGAAGGTACACACTACTGTACATAGAGTTGATTGGCCTTGGTCCAGGTGAATACATCAAAGGTGCCGGAACATTTTTCAGTAGGCTGCTCTTTGGTGTTGGAGGTGAGAAAAAGCTATCGTTGCACACTGATTTGTTACCATCACTATTACTCAAGTCCAGCGGAAGCTGATTTGAATCTGGTTGATGAGATTTAAATGCTGATTGAGAATAAAAGTCCATCAAAGCAGTACGTTGTTGTGACAACATCTTACCACTAGGTGGTGCTGCTGTTGGCATCTTGGAATACACAGATGAAGGATTCTGTAGAGCCGTCGGAGACAGCATCACTGGTTTTTCTGGAGTATCCCAAGCAAGAAAGTCTATGTTGAATCCAGGAGATGCTGGCACAAACTTGCCTGGAGCTGTCATTGTGTTTCTAGGATTATTTTTCTGTATCCAAGACGAAGCAAAAACATGAAAGTTTCTGACAAAATCAGCAGAAATAAACACTCTGTTACAGTGTTATAATTGTAATGAAGATATCGTAATCACCAAGGTGATAATGAAGCAAGTGGTAAAATAGTATAAGTAACTGTATCTGAGGAATGCTCGGAATGATGACTTAGATGGTGAACGGGTGAGATATATACCCAAACTACCTGCTACTGTCTCGTCAGCCAGTCTTAGGGAGCTGCTCACAGTGTTTTAACTAGCCTGACATACACAGACAATAACAGGGACAAACCCTCTCAATTCTCTGATTGTTTTGAGAACAATGAAGAAGTTTTAAGAATATACAAACTCCTTTGTACATAATGGGTAATGATGTGAATCATTGGATTGTGATGAGTCGGGAGGGGATCATAGCTAATTCAAACCCTTAAGGTGTGAAAAGGGGCTGGGACTCACCTCTACCAGTCCATCTGTCTTAAATAGTATGTAAACACAGGTAGAGTCTATCATCAATACTTAGTCCTTTGATGTAACCCTACCTGAAATCACAGTGTTACCTGTGCACAGGTAAGATAATTAGATAATTACTAGGGTATCTGTTACCGACAGTGAGGTGAGGCAATCGCTGAAACAACACAGGATTATCACCTGGATTAAGTGTGTTTTACACCTCCTGTTCAAATGTAGAGACAAGAGGGGTGTGTGGCATCCCAAGCACTGTATGTTGTTAGGGACTTTTTGCATGGAGTGCAACAAGGTAATTTTAGTAAGTTAGGCTTCCCAATCAATTTTCGGAAGGATTTTTTTCCACCATTAACAATAATACTGATCCTGTTTATTATCTATCAGTTGATTTCACACATTTCTGTGATATCATTTTTTTTTCTAATTTATTTCAGTTGACATAAAGTAAAGGTTATAAAGTGCTGAGAGAATAAACTACAGAATTAAATGTCATCATTATTCTTTATTTAATTTTTTTTTAAACATAATTCCATAACTTCATATTATAATATCCATTTATATACGTATATTTACTTATATATACAAGCATACTTGTTACTTAATTATAAACAATAAAATTTGTTATTTAAAAAATTTGTATTATTTCAAAACATGTTAAAAATTTTACATATCTTTTTTTTCATATGGAATGATTTCTTTGCCATTGAGTTTTTTTCAGTCAAAAATTCAATTTGCATGTTAGAAACAATATCACTCTTTTAAAGTTTCACAAAATAAAAATTAAGCCAGTAAATAATTTTGAGGATATGTCATGATTCACATAAATGTTTAATAATTCATCTAATTTGATGTTTTTCTAAGATTATTTGTGTGAATTCAGATGTACATGAGAGTTAGTTATGTTTAAACAGCTGTATAAGATTATTTGTGTGAATTTAGCTGTACATGAGAGTTATGTTTAAACAGCTGTATAAGATTATTTGTGTGAATTTAGTTCTGTGGTTATTTATTAATTTTACATTGGTTTCTGATAAAACTTATGAAAATAATTTCCATGTAATTCTGTTTTTTCCTAACAAGTAATTGTAAGAAGTAATTGTTGTCTGTTATAAACTTACTGAAAATCGAACAGTGCTAAAGACATCATGCTATGGCTCTGATGAAGCCCCAGTAAGGGCTGGGAATCAGAGTAATCACTGTGGTTACCATAGTGTTAATATATATATAAGCTGTTACAGATTATCCTCCTCCTGTAATAACTCCACTGACTGAGCACTCCTGTCATACACTTAAACTATAGGCTTTAAGCCTTCTATCAAGAAATCACATACATACAAGATATTTCCAATTATCATCCTAGGTGGTTGAATTCAAAATACTTTTTACAAAATATTAATACTAATTTCTATTCTTGAATCTAATTGATTTCCTACAGTATCTATTATCACCATACATTTATTATTCTTTGAATGCTGGGGTTTGAATTCAACGAACAGAAGTGAAAAGGTAAGGGGTCACTTGTCCTACCATATGGGTTTTCAACTGGTTTCTTCCCACAGACCCCAGACACGCTTCAATCTGGGCCAACAAGCATGATTAGTATAATTTCGATAAACTTGATTCCTAATTGTTAAATTAAATTATACAAAGTTTAGTTTTGTATTCATATCTCACTACAAACATCATATGAAATAAATAAAATTCATATCCCACTATATCATACAAAATAGATAAGGTTTATATCTATATTCCACTACATAATATAAAAATAAATAAAATCTATGCTATTACTCTTCTGTGCGAGATCCAAGGTCATTGTAGCAGCTGGTGGCTTCCTTACTGAACACAATGCAGGAGGTTCACAGCAGAAACAAGAACTGCCCAGGGTAAGCCCCCGCCCCCACCCCCTGATCTACACCTGATCAGGTTGTAAGTCTGATGTGATCTACCATTGGACGATTGTATCCCTCTTTGTAATCAGGTACCTGAGTCAAAATTACTGTTGACTGAAGCTATATACAGGTTTATGTAATGATAATATTTGAAGAGACAATATTTTAACATATCTTACAAGGTTAAAATTGACCCCAAACTTTCCCTGACATAAATTTACATAAAAAAGTCACTATTTCTCAGTGTTATTGACTCAGTGTGTTTGCCTACACCAACAGAGACCCATGTTAATTGTACTGTAAAAACAAAACAGGCAGAGACACACTTCTGTGTTTGTATAACTAAGACCCCAACCAAAGCCCCAGACCACTCGGACAGGAGGATAACTGATTATACTGACCATTCCACTGACCACTACAGGTCAGACTGACCACACCATATTGGTCATTACAGGAGGTGTGGATGGATAGACTGATAATCACTAACACAGCAGTGACCTAATGGCTTTCTTTTTGATGTCCAAAATAAATCATGAAGGACATACTTCAAAAGGAAAAATTATGACATCATAGAAACCAATATTAAAAACAAGGTTAAGCAGACCAATATCATACACTAATACTCAAAATTTGAGAATGTAAAGAGACAAATATTTCAATATACAGCATTTTGATTTAGAATATTTCAGTAATGGTTTGCAAAATATGGGGTCTAGTAAAGTTATACAATAACACAATAAGTTGAAAGTAGTGGAAGCCTATCAGTGTCGGCTAATGGATTTCCTCTTTAACAAAGCAAGAGAATGCCATTCATATGATTAAGGAGTTTATAATCACAGGTCTGATAACTTATATAGACATGTCCTTCCAAACTCCAGACTCAACACTCATTTAAAATAAAAAAACTGCCAAGTTTCTTATAATAAACATACAATGAAATATTCAGTGATAGATTCTGTAATTCGTTCTGGGGAATGAAATAGATAAGTTAAATATGATTGTCATTTTTCACAGAAACACTTGTATCTATGTGTATTACACAATCCTGTATGTTTTGCTATGTGTTTATTTTGCCACAAGCAGCTATTTTTGTCATCATTTTCATAAGTCCAACTACTACAAGGTGTAATGGTTTCCACTCATGAAAAATAAGATTTCATCACTCAAATATGTGCTGAAAATTACAAATTTCTGGTCAAAACCAGAAAACATGCATGCACGCACGCACGCACGCATGCATGCACGCACGCACGCACACATGCACACACGCCCGCATGCACACACACACAGAAATAAATAAATAAATTGTAATGATTCCAGACATTCATTTGATTTGGTCTGCTTTTAATGGAGACAGATCTGTTAATGTGTAAATATCAGGGAAAATTGACTTACCCGCTGTATGACCAGGACACGGCATGCCTTCAAACAAGCCTCCATCTCAATCATTCCAGACCCCTTGAACTGTAACAAAACAGTGTCAAACTATACACCCCTTAGACCGTAACAAAACAGTGTCAAACTATTGACTTCTTAGACTGTAACAAAACAGTGTCAAACTATAGACTTCTTAGACTGTAACAAAACAGTGTCAAACTATAGACTTCTTAGACTGTAACAAAACAGTGTCAAACTATAGACCCATTAAACTGTAACAAAACAGTGTCAAACTATACACCCCTTAGACTGTAACAAAACAGTGTCAAACTAAAGACTTTTTAGACTGTAACAAAACAGTGTCAAACTAAAGACTTTTTAGACTGTAACAAAACAGTGTCAAACTAAAGACTTTTTAGACTGTAACAAAGCAGTGTCACACTATAGACCCATTGAACTGTAACAAAACAGTGTCACACTATACACCCCTTAGACTGTAACAAAACAGTGTCAAACTATAGACCCCTTAGACTGTAACAAAACAGTGTCAAACTATACACCCCTTAGACTGTAACAAAACAGTGTCAAACTAAAGACTTTTTAGACTGTAACAAAACAGTGTCAAACTAAAGACTTTTTAGACTGTAACAAAACAGTGTCAAACTAAAGACTTTTTAGACTGTAACAAAGCAGTGTCACACTATAGACCCATTGAACTGTAACAAAACAGTGTCACACTATACACCCCTTAGACTGTAACAAAACAGTGTCAAACTATAGACCCCTTAGACTGTAACAAAACAGTGTCACACTATACACCCCTTAGACTGTAACAAAACAGTGTCACACTATACACCCCATCACACTGTAACAAAACAGTGTCAAACTATACACCCCATCAGACTGTAACAAAACAGTGTCACACTATACACCCCATCAGACTGTAACAAAACAGTATCACACTATACACCCCATCACACTGTAACAAAACAGTGTCACACTATACACCCAATCAGACTGTAACAAAACAGTGTCACACTATACACCCCATCACACTGTAACAAAACAGTGTCACACTATACACCCCATCACACTGTAACAAAACATATAATATATACATTATGTTATCCTTGATGGTTCTATCAATTCCAATTTGAATGGCAATAAATAAACTTGTTTTAAATGGCCCTTCCAATGTAATATCAAATGGCCTGTTAATTTGTTACCTTGCTGTAATGTACGAGGGCTTCTCGATATTTCTCCACAATGTCATCTGGTCCGAGTGCAGATCTCGGCGAATCTTCCTGATCCTGGTATCCATTGGTGTAATTGTGTTTTACATTTCCTAAAATAGCAAATTCTATTTGAAGACAAAGTCTAGTCAAATGATTCCTTTTGAAAATTGATATTCTTTAAGAACATTTCTGAGAACTCCTAGATTTAAGTTACAAATTAACATTGAGACAGCATGTTATTTTGAGAATAAAATTTAAAAAACAAAAGGAAAAAAATAAAATTGATCACTAAAAGTATTTTCATAATGTTTCCGATGAAAACCAGGACAAGGCTACAAAGATAGGTATGGTATCTATAATAAATCAAACCTGTTCTCAGTTTGGTGTCATTAGCCATGGATGACCCTAATTTGGCCTGTAGGGAAAAATTACGTCTCAATGTCGGAGTTTGGCTTTTCGGAAAACGGACTATCACAGATGCTGAGCAAATGCCTTCAAAACAAGCTAGAATAGAGAAATGATTCATCAGTTAATTATATCTATATGTAACCAATGTCTGAAATCATTTAGTAAATGTTAACAATGTGTGCTTGTCTCACCCCCGTAAGTAAAATCATTGAAGATCATAAGGAATATTACTGTAATATTAGTGTAGTATTAATTGTAGAAAGCACAGTGACTAGACATTGTCTGTCCATGTGGCATCCTTTAGAGACAATGTAATTGATTAACATTATATAATATAATCACATTACATAGAAAACATCGCCAGAATATCAGTCAAGTTTAACAAACTATCAAAGGTACAAAATATCAGTCAAGTTAACCAAATTGTCAAAAGTACAAATATCAGTCAAGTTAACCAAATTGTCAAAAGTACAAATATCAGTCAAGTTAACCAAATTGTCAAAAGTACAAATATCAGTCAAGTTAACCAAATTGTCAAAAGTACAAATATCAGTCAAGTTAACCAAATTGTCAAAAGTACAAATATCAGTCAAGTTAACCAAATTGTCAAAAGTACAAATATCAGTCAAGTTAACCAAATTGTCAAAAGTACAAATATCAGTCAAGTTAACCAAATTGTCAAAAGTACAAATATCAGTCAAGTTAACCAAAATTGTCAAAAGTACAAATATCAGTCAAGTTAACAAAATTGTCAAAAGTACAAATATCAGTCAAGTTAACCAAAATTGTCAAAAGTACAAATATCAGTCAAGTTAACAAAATTGTCAAAAGTACAAATATCAGTCAAGTTAACAAAATTGTCAAAAGTACAAATATCAGTCAAGTTAACCAAATTGTCAAAAGTACAAATATCAGTCAAGTTAACCAAATTGTCAAAAGTACAAATATCAGTCAAGTTAACCAAATTGTCAAAAGTACAAATATCAGTCAAGTTAACCAAAATTGTCAAAAGTACAAATATCAGTCAAGTTAACAAAATTGTCAAAAGTACAAATATCAGTCAAGTTAACAAAATTGTCAAAAGTACAAATATCAGTCAAGTTAACCAAATTGTCAAAAGTACAAATATCAGTCAAGTTAACCAAAATTGTCAAAAGTACAAATATCAGTCAAGTTAACAAAATTGTCAAAAGTACAAATATCAGTCAAGTTAACCAAATTGTCAAAAGTACAAATATCAGTCAAGTTAACTAAATTATCAAAGGTAAAAATATCAGTCAAATTGTCTGACCCAAAGAAAAAATTATCTTCTAGAGATCAATGTACATAAATCTACACATTTTTAACAGGGAAAAAACGAAACTTAACAAATTAGAAGGCTATATTATGTACAGGTTTTTGTTCTGTTATAATTTTAAACAAGAAACACTACTTATTACTCAGGTAAACTTTTCATCCTTCACCTTGTGCTGTTGTATTCTGACATTGTTAAGAAGAAGTTTTGAAAAGTCATTTATAAGACTATTTGGATCTAATCTGATTCTTCAGTTGATATAATTATTATCATTGATAATAAATAACTTGGAAATCCTCAACTCTCCCTAAAAACAGCCATTGTTAGGGAAATATATTCAAGTAAATGTATTTAAGGCTAAAACAAGATCAGATGAAAATCCATCATTCCCAAAATACTTGATTCAGTGTCTACAACAAAACAGAGAATTTTCATGATAGTGTTAATACTTATTATCATATGAACTTTGACCTATAGCTGCTATACCTCCTATCCATAACCAGTCGTTGACTGGTCGCAGGATGTCTATGGCAGTCTGATAATGCAGAATTGCCTCCCCTGGAATACCAGCTTGTAAACAAAGATCACCTAAGTGTTTTCGTAACCGTCCTTGGCACTTCTTACGATATGATCTACAACAAGTATATCAACAACAAAGTTAAAGTCTTTTGATGTCTGTGTTTATATTTACAGGATCATTTGGATTTATGACTGAAATGTGCCTATGAACCAGTTTGTCAAAATGATTGAATAGATATGGAGATATCAGAAATTTAGTAACATTTTCCAATATTGGCTGTAAAATAAATCTTAAGACCAAACTCAGTTTAACCATCTTTGAATCCTCTTTATTACCCAAGAATTGAAAACCAAATCTTGTCAAAAATTACATTGGGTGCATTTTTCCTATTTCTTCATTTTCTTTTTTTTATATTTCTTGCAATAATCTCTAACCCCAATTTTATGATAAGAATTTTCATAAAGAAATAAAGAATAAATAAATAAGATAAAAATCTTACTTTGTATCTGTGTCAAGACCAACATAATCCTTCCTTTCAAAAGGTGCACAAAGAAGCTGCATCTTGTCTGCACGTTCAAAAGATCGGTCGAGACGTTTTCCTTCTAGCACAAAGAAAATCGAGGTCACAAAGTCTCTTATCTTCTCTTCAAGGTCACTGCAAGAATCAAGACTGGGACAAAATAAAACTTCGGCACCCATGCTTTCCTTCGTTAAACTGTTACTATGTGGTCGTGATGTGGGCACTTCACTTGATACCCCCAAATCTGACTCCGACTTAGTACTGTCATCACCAGGGCATGAAGTTGGCAGTTCATTTGGTGCACTTGACCGTGACAAATTTTCGTCATTGTCTACCCGACATTCAGGTTTTGAATCACTTTGTAACTGTTCAGTAGGTTTTGGATCTACCTGAGAAGAAATTGCACTTGTTGATTTATTTACATCCGATTCTGTTTCTGTATCGGTTTTTGTTATTTCACAATCATTCCCGACTTCTGTGGGACTGAGATCAGGGGTTACTCCACTATCTTCACTGTGTACTGGTGATGATTTTCCACTGCGAGAAGAACTTGATGAAAATTTTTCTCCTCTTTCTTTCTTATAATTCTCCTTTTCCTCCTCATTTAAGGGAGATCCGTCAGTGTTCATACCAAACACAAACAAACGAGAGTTAAATAACGTTGACGCATATTCTTCCTTCACTTTTCGGTAGTTATCAAAAAGTTCTTCAAATTGATTCAAATCGTTACATTGTCCTATCGAAACAAGTCCAAGAACCTTCCGATGAGCCTGGAAATCTCCCCACTCATTGTTTTCTTTTGAGTATGTTCTTTTGTACCTTAAAAGAAAAACATACAAGGTATTTGTTAAACCAATTTTAACAAGATATTTTCAAACATTAGGTCCTCAGTGTTATAACATACTTTTATAGGAACAGCAACTATATAACCACAACATTTTAGCTGAAATTATTTTTGAACCAATATAAACGAAGCCTAAAACACCCCCATTTTTTATCAGTAAAAAGAGTAATGTCACCATGGTAAACAAACTTTTAAAATGTAATATCTATGTATACCTGACCCAAGCGATGCGTTTCTGCCCCGGTACTGTGACACAGTTGAGTTTGCGTATGCGCTCCCATGCTCTGTTGAAAGATCTGCTGCACAGATGTTGACCTGTGTTCCGGACGAGGATGAGGAATGCTTGGTGGTCCTCCGCCGTCTGACCATAGTCAATCTGACTCATACTGACTGGCAGTAATACACTATCTTCTCACATGCCTGTAAGATAACCATGCATTCTGAGATAACTCTTACCTCCCCTACTTCTAGATGTCACATAACATTATTTTATAAGGATGCTGCCCTTTAGTAATAAAGTAGAAACAAGAGGCCCCAAGGGCCTTAGCGGTCACCTGGGTCACAATGCTTCCTGTAACATGTCAAAGAAATGATTTTGATAAAAAATTAACATAACTTTAGCTATATTGTTAACATAATTCAAATGTATATTGGGTATACATTAACTGTTGTCCCATGGTGATGCTTCTAACTAAGTTTGAATAAAAGGAAATAACATTCAATTTTTTTAATTTTCCTGTATACACAATCAGTCAGTTTGACCCATTTGTGGCCCTGCCCATCAGCCCCTTGGAGTTAGTGAAATTGGTTCAAGAGTTTCCAGAAGCAATCAAAAATGTTATAAAGTTTATGGCGCATGACACCAGACAAATATGGAATCGCAATAGGTCACCCTCAGATTTTTTCTCTGTGAACCTCAAAATACAGTAGCTTTGTAACAGAATTTGGAGTATAAATCAAAGTAAGTATTTTAACAAAATTATATATATAATGAAATCCAAAAGTGATTTAAACTTATTACTTCATGCATGTTAAAAAAAACTGGAAAATGAACATTTTTTTTATCTGTAACACTTTAAAACACCAAAGGACCATAACCCAGGTGCAATAACCTCTGTCAAATGGCAACGCCTGGCTTTCAAGTTTGCATGATCCCAAGGCAGTCCCTTGATAAGCTTTTCTCTAGATTTTCTGCTAGTCCTACCTTATTCCTGTTCTCTGAAAATGTGTGTTTCATTGATAAAACTTGTGATACTTTTTTTATTGATTATAGTTTTAATAATACTTATATCTTAAGTTTCAGTTTATTAAGTATATCCATCTTGAATCCTTGTTTCAAAGCACTTCACATAATTTTAAACAGAGTCTTGACTGCCATGTCAGAAGATCAAAGGTGTTAAACTGTCTCCAACATACTTAGTACAGTGCCACAATATCCAGGATATTTTTTGAGCATTTGAATTTAGTGAAAACGAATAAAGGATAACCTTGTTTTCCCTTTATTTCCATCCTTGTACTGAGCTATTCATTTAAAATAATACTGACACTTGAAATGTATTTCTTACTTCAAACTATTTCACAGACCAAAACAACATCTGTTCCCTTTGTGGTGCCCTTATAAAAATCTTACAGAGTTTAAGTTAAATGTTGACTTTGAAACGAAGTAAAATAAAGATTAATTTTCATTCTTAACTCCAAGGTTCAACTCAATTTATTGAAGCATAACAGAAAAAACCCAGACAACTATCCACCATTGAAAGCAACCCAACAGTGAATCAAACGGGTTTTTGTGTGTCGCTTACTTTGCTGTCATCGCCTGTATTTTTAATAGTACAGCAAAGATTATCGAAATCCTGTAGAATAGCAAGCTTTCAAACTTTGACAATAACAATTACATAAAATCAACTGAGTCATCATTTGACAACTGGAATATTGATGTTTTCAGTGACTTGAAAAAAGCAGTCAACTTCTACGGATGTTGTGATGTAGGAGACGTCATCAAATATTGGGCGGAAGAGGTATTTTATCATTCATAACATAAGTGAACTGAAAAAGAAATTAAGCATGTGTTGTAAAACGTAAATTATTTTCATGTATCCAGTAAAATGGTCGCTGCGTAAGGCAAATGTAGTAAAACGTACATAGTGAGATATCTTGGTCTGTTTTCATTTTGCAGATACGCCATGTTTGAAATCTCACGCGAAAGCACGAGACCAAATAACATGCATTTCTTAATATATATATTTAATAATACGGTTGGAATCGTATGGATTAAGCACTACTGCCAGGGTTGTGACCCTGGATTCAGTACTACTGCTAGGGTTGTGACTGTGGATTCAACACTACTGTTAGGGTTGTGACCCTGGATTCAGCACTACTGCCAGGGTTGTGACCCTGAATTCAGCACGACCGCCAGGGTTGTGACTGTGGATTCAGCACTACTGCCAGGGTTGTGACACTGGATTAAGCACTACTGCCAGAGTTGTGACTGTGGATTCAGCACTATTGCCAGGGTTGTGACCCTGGATTCAGCACTACTGCTAGGGTTTTGACCGTGTATTCAGCACTACTGCCAGGGTTGTGAATGTGGATTCAGCACTACTGCTAGGGTTGACCCTGGATTCAGCACTACTGACAGGGTTGTTACCCTGGATTCAGCACTACAGCAAGGGTTGTGACCCTGGATTCAGAAGGACTGCCAGGGTTGTGACTGTGGATTCAGCACTAATGCTAGGGTTGACCCGGGATTTAGCACTACTGCCAGGGTTGTTACCCTGGATTAAGCACTACTGCCAAGGTTGTGACCCTGGATTCAGTACTACTGCTAGGGTTGTGACTGTGGATTCAACACTACTGTTAGGGTTGTGACCCTGGATTCAGCACTACTGCCAGGGTTGTGACTCTGGATTAAGAACTACTGCCAGGGTTGTGACCATGTATTCAGCACTACTGCCAGGGTTGTGACACTGGATTAAGCACTACTGCCAGGGTTGTGACCATGTATTCAGCACTACTGCCAGGGTTGTGACCCTGGATTCAGCACTACTGCCAGGGTTATGACTGTAGTTCAGCACTACTGCTAGGGTTGACCCGGGATTTAGCACTACTGCCAGGGTTGTGACCCTGAATTCAGAAGGACTGCCAGTGTTGTGACTGTGGATTCAGCACTAATGCTAGGGTTGACCCGGGATTTAGCACTACTGCCAGGGTTGTTACCCTGGATTCAGCACTACTACCAGGGTTGTGACTGTGGATTCAGCACTACTGCCAGGGTTGTGACACTGGATTCAACACTACTGCTAGGGTTTTGACCGTGTATTCAGCACTACTGCCAGGGTTGTGAATGTGGATTCAGCACTACTGCTAGGGTTGACCCTGGATTCAGCACTACTGCCAGGGTTGACCCTGGATTCAGCACTACAGCAAGGGTTGTGACACTGGATTAAGCATTACTGCCAGGGTTGTGACCCTGGATTCAGAAGGACTGCCAGGGTTGTGACTGTGGATTCAGCACTAATGCTAGGGTTGACCCGGGATTTAGCACTACTGCCAGGGTTGTGACCCTGAATTCAGCACGACCGCCAGGGTTGTGACTGTGGATTCAGCACTACTGCCAGGGTTGTGACACTGGATTCAACACTACTGCTAGGATTGTGACTGTGGATTCAGCACTATTACCAGGGTTGTGACCCTGGATTCAGCACTACTGCTAGGGTTGTGACCGTGTATTCAGCACTACTGCCAGGGTTGTGAATGTGGATTCAGCACTACTGCTAGGGTTGTGACCGTGCACTACTGCCATTCAGCACTACTGCCAGGGTTGTGACACTGGATTCAACACTACCGCTAGGATTGTGACTGTGGATTCAGCACTACTGCCAGGTTTGTGACCCTGGATTCAGTACTACTGCTAGGGTTGTGACTGTGGATTCAACACTACTGTTAGGGTTGTTACCCTGGATTCTGCACTACTGCCAGGGTTGTGACACTGGATTAAGCACTACTGCCAGGGTTGTGACCATGTATTCAGCACTACTGCCAGGGTTGTGACCATGTATTCAGCACTACTGCCAGGGTTGTGACCCTGGATTCAGCACTACTGCCAGGGTTGTGACTGTAGATTCAGCACTACTGCTAGGGTTGACCCTGGATTTAGCACTACTGCCAGGGTTGTGACCCTGGATTAAGCACTACTGCCAGGGTTGTGACTGTGGATTCAGCACTACTGCTAGGGTTGTGACCGTGTATTCAGCAGTACTGCCAGGGTTGTGACTGTGGATTCAGCACTACTGCTAGGGTTGTGACTGTGGATTCAGCACTACTGCCAGGGTTGTGACACTGGATTAAGCACTACTGCCAGGGTTGTGACCATGTATTCAGCACTACTGCCAGGGTTGACCCTGGATTAAGCACTAATGTTAGGGTTGTTACCCTGGATTCTGCACTACTGGCAGGGTTGTGACACTGGATTAAGCACTACTGCCAGGGTTGTGACCATGTATTCAGCACTACTGCCAGGGTTGTGACTGTGGATTCAGCACTACTGCCAGGGTTGTGACCCTGAATTCAGCACGACTGCCAGGGTTGTGACCCTGGATTCAGCACTACTGCCAGGGTTGTGACTGTAGATTCAGCACTACTGCCAGGGTTGTGACACTGGATTAAGCACTACTGCTAGGGTTGTGACTGTGGATTCAGCACTACTGCCAGGGTTGTGACCCTGGATTCAGCACTACTGCCAGGGTTGTGACCGTGTATTCAGCACTACTGCCAGGGTTGTGACCCTGTATTCAGCACTAGCACTCAGCACTACTGCCAGGGTTGTGACACTGGATTCAGCACTACTGCCAGGGTTGTGACCCTGAATTCAGCACTACTGCCAGGGTTGTGACTGTAGATTCAGCACTACTGCTAGGGTTGACCCTGGATTTAGCACTACTGCCAGGGTTGTGACTGTGGATTCAGTGCTAATGACTGGGTTGTGACCCTGGATTCAGCACTACTGCCAGGGTTGTGACCCTGGATTCAGCATTACTGCTAGGGTTGTGACCGTGTATTCAGCAGAACTGCCAGGGTTGGATTCAGCACTAGGGTTGTTACCCTGGATTCAGCACTACTGCCAGGGTTGTGACCCTGGATTCAGCACTACTGCCAGGGTTGTGACCCTGGATTCAGCACTACTGCCAGGGTTGACCCTGGATTAAGCACTAATGTTAGTATTAAGCACTACTGCCAGGGTTCTGACCCTGGATTCAGCACTATTGCCAAGGTTGTGACTGTGGATTCAATACTACTGCCAGGGTTGTGACCCTGAATTAGGCACGACCACCAGGGTTGTGACCCTGGATTCAGCACTACTGCCAGGGTTGTGACCCTGGATTCAGC